CTCAAACATTTCTCTGAGGAGCTGAGGACAGACCAGAGCAGAAATAAAATCCTTGCCCTCGGAGAGTGTTACAAGCACACTATCTTTGCCATGAGACCTGCCCAACCAAATTTCAAATGGCGAATTGACCCTTCTCCAGAGAAGTCATTTTGAAGGAAGGTGCAACAGGTCCTTGATTCTTCTTGGAGAATCTTCCAAACACCACTGACAAACCATCACTTTTTTTATGTCTGTATTAGAAAATACTTGACAACCTAATGACGCTTTAGTTGGACACGGAGTATGTTTTCCACAATTCACAAAGTATATTCCCATGTTTCTGGAGGGAAGGGCATTCACCAAAGCACTCCCAAATGTCCTTTAAAAGTACAGGACCTTATCAAAAAGGGCTGTACCTGTTTGCATTACGCCAACCGTGATCCCCTCTATGTATTTCTCCTTTGTGACTCGTCTATGCCAACGTGGTTTTAGATTAACAGCTTCTGTCAAACAAGATCAGACTTGTATTTTTTTTACAAGCTGTGCATTCATTGGACTAAAATCAGAGATGCCCAATTTATTGAACGCCTTCTGTGCCTGTCATATATAATCTGACAAATTCCACGTGGCTCTTTACAACCTCTCTCTTATAGATAAGCATGCAGCCTCAGAGAGGTTAAATGGTGCATATACCACATGTGATCCAGTGGAAAGATGAGCATTTGAACTCACTTAACATGCCACGGTCCAAGTTGACGGGATTTCTCAGCCACATTTTTGAAGCACACTAAAAGGTAAAATGTATCAAATGGTAAGGATGTCCATAGATGGTGTCTTCTTAAGATCAGTGAAGATGGTTAACTTTAGGATACTTTTCCAAAATGAAAGCCACATTTTTGAAGCACACTAAAAGGTAAAATTTATCAAATGGTAAGGATGTCCATAGACGGTGTCTTCTATGATCACCATCTTCACATGATCAGTGAAGGTGGTTAACTTTAGGATACTTTTCCAAAATGAGCACAGATTTCAAATGGACTTTGGAATTGAAAAGAAGCAGTATAACATTCCAATGGGCAGCTCTTCCGCCTGACTACATGGTTCTAACCTACAGAGAGGCCATCATCATGAATAAAGCAACTAAAATGGTAGAACCCTTTTTTCCCTCAAGAGGGAACAGGTCTCTGGGGGTGTATTGAAGGAATGGACACAGCACAGAGCTGCTGTTGTAGAGAATGAAATGATGAGCAGAGACCAGGGCGGGCTGCCTCAGAAAACCATCATGGAGTTGGTGTTGGAAGATTTGCACATGCAAATAAGACACTGTGTCTACATGAAGCCTTGATTCCAAAAACCAGCAGGCCTTTATCAGATCACAAAGTTTAACTAAGAAGATGTTTAACTAACCCAGAACTCATTACAACGAGGAAGGCTGACAGTGAATCCAAATTGTGAGTTTGGAGGCCTTAATATTAAGAATGGAATTTTATGCCATCTAATTTAAATGATAGTACTGCCTAGAAATCTGCATTTATTTTGTGCAATACAGGTCCCGATGATGTAATATGCAGCTAAAATTATCCATTGGATGTGCAAAATCTGTCATATGCAACTTTGAGACCAAAATAATTGCAACACAGTAAGAGTCTTTATTTTCCCCTGAAAATCTCATTTAAGTATTATCTCTGCTGAGATTTATGTTTTCTACGATTTAAGGAGAAAAATCTGGATTTCCAGTTGCCAGCTTGAAGCAGCTTTTCAATCTGAAATGATTCTTGCAGCCAGTCTGTCCTGTTAAGAACTCAAAGGGAGAATCTGGCAATCACTGCAAGGCCAGTCGCACATTCCCTCCTCCTCAAGTGTAGCCACTAGACCTGGTAAAGTGTCTGGCCAGCCTGTGTTCATGCCCAGAAAGTTAATCCAAATTAATCCCAGAACAACCATAACAAACAGCCCTCTTTAGAGGGCCTATTATGCTCAGGGTTTTGCATAACATTACTCTTAATTCACCAAATCATTCAAATTGAGCTGAATTCTAATTTGTTGATATTATCAATCCCATCCCACAGATGAGAAAACAGAGGGCCAGGGAAATGAAAGGCGTGGCCCAATGCACCCAGCTATTAATTAGAGGAGGGAGATCATGTAAAAAGGGAACTTCAAAACTTGCAAAACCCAGCAGTTTCTGGGCCCCTGGACCTCAGCAGAACCCCAGTACACAGCTACCCACTCAGACACGTTGAGCTCTGAAATAAGCTCAGGAGGTAAGTTTCCAGGTCTCCCGCGGCCATGACTCTTCCATCAGCGCAGGAACAAGTTGCCTAAAACTCCGAGCCAAGTCTGACTGCCAAACCAAAGGAGCTAAATCCCAAACCGGGCAACGTGTCCCTAACTGCAGCGCAGGGGAAATGAGTGATTCATTCGCCAGATGAAAAATGCTGTCCTTGGGTGCTCCGTCCTCTCCAGATATGAGGAACCCACAGAAGTGGAGGTGGGTGGGAGGAAACATTGCAGCCTGCAATTTTTTAAAGACATTCACCCTCCCTCCCTTTCTCTCTCTCCCCCTCCCCCAACCCCTTCCTCCTCTCATTCAGAAAAGCTTGCACATGTATGTGAATGCGGAGTGGTGGGGGGAGTGACAATGTGAAGGAGAGTAATGCACTTAGAGGTCTCATTGGTGTAGCAGTGAAGAAATTGTATGTCAAGAAGAAGGAGAGGAAGAAGGAGGAGGAGGAGGAGGAGGAGGAGAAAGAGGAAAGAGGAGGAGGGAAAGAAGAAGAAGAAGAAGAAGAAGAAGAAGAAGAAGAAGAAGAAGAAGAAGAAGAAGAAGAAGAAGAAGAAGAAGAAGAAGAAGAAGAAAAAGGAGGAGGAGAAGAAGAAGAGAGGAAAGGAAAGGAAAAAACCTCTCCTGATTGGCAGAGGCCAGGCCAGGCTGCTCCTGTGAAGCCCAGAGCTGAACTACGCAGTAAAAAACCTCAAAGCACAAAGCACACTTTTTTTTTTCTTTTTCTCTTTTCTCAGTTGTGCTAAGTTGCAATTGAGCAGGAACTTGAGTCAGTCTATGAGCACAGTGGTAAATTAACTGAGGTCATGTAAAAACAGAGCAAACAAGCAAATAAACAGACAAAAAAGCAAACAAAAAACTGCATATCTTACATAAATAAGATATGCAAAAGCCTACAGAGATCTTGATGGGGGGGGGGGGCAGAAAAACCCTAGATGATTATTTTCATGGGTTGGTGAATGTATTGCCTGATCTGTGTCCTTACAGAAAACATGTGCCCAGGAAAATAAATTAGAGAAGTGCCCAGCTGTAGGCTAGTTTAGTTAAGGAGTAATGAAAAGGATAAGAAGAGATGATGTGAGTGGAAGAACAGGCTCAGATGCTTTTAGCAGGGTGTTTCTGGTTTCTATTATCACCTCTCAAATATAAATCTAACTCCATGGTTCCGGAATGACTCCCCAGGGACCACCACTCACTGGACTAAATATGCCCGACACCAAGCAGGGACCCCAGAGAACACTGCCTTTTATCTCCTTCAGCATATGCCTGAGTTGTGGACGTGGATCCTCTCATTTTCAAAAATAATATTAAAGCGAGGGTTATCTGAGTTCAGCCCATTTAAAAAAAAAAAAAAAAGACTCAAAACGGATATGCATGTTGGGGGTGGGCTAGCCTTGAGCTCCAGCCTGGCAGGAGTTCAGTTTGAGCTCTCAAGACAGATACTTTCCTTGACCCTTTTAGACAAAAATGGCAGCTGTGGGGACAGAAGTAGCAGCACCGTGTATGGCTGATTCCTATCCAGTTTGGATTCCAAACTGAATTTGTGTGCTGTTGGGAGGCCTGTGGGAGTCACCTGTCCCATATGGTTTGGCCATTAACCGAAGAGTTATAGCTTCTCTACGCCTCGGTTTCCTTTTTTTATTGGCATGAGATCTCTGAGGAGTCTTCCGGCTCTAAAGTTATATGAGTCTATGATCCTGATAGAAGGCCCCAGAGAGGAATCAGGAAGGGTGAAGGGGAAGAGTTCTGCTAGAGATGAACGAAAGGAAGGAGTTGGGAAGAGGGGAGATCCTACAGGCCCCCAGGCTCTGGAGGCATGTCCCACCTCCTCTTATTTTGCTTTCTTGGCCTCTTTCCCCCCAAACAAACCTGTCACATGAGCAGCACTGCTATGCAACACACAGACTTTTTCTTTAGCTCCTTTACCTAAGTTATCACACAGGATACTCATCTCCTGCTTTTTTTCTCAAGAGCCCTGTCCCAGAGATGTTGGGAAGGTTTCTGGCAAAACCCAAGCCAACTGCCCAAGCCATCTACAATCTAGGTACAGCCTCTCTGTTATCCAGAGAAGTGGTGAGTTCGAAGGAGGTGGGGTTGAAGAGAAGTGGGTCCGTCCCTCATCCTTAGCCCTGGCAAGAATCGAGGTACTCTGGGCCACATTTGAGCAAAAGAGGCTGGGGAAAGTGTAAGCCACCTCTCTCCACCACTTCCTCTCCATTCTCACACTTCCTCCCTCCATCCACCAGGAGCCAAAAGCCATCCTTCATCTGCTGGGTTTATGATCATATTTTTTTTTTTTGCGTTAATACGTTCGGTTGATCTGCAGTGTCAGGTTGGATAATGAAATTTAAATGAGGCCCCTTTGATTTCCAATGGCTAGACATGTGTGCATCCAACTCCGGGGCTGCCATGCAACTTATATGCATCCAGGAGTGTCAATCACACAGCACAGGCACCCCACACTGCGGTGGCTTTCTTGGGGAGACGTCCCCCCCCCATGAACATTTGCAAAGGCATTTGCCCAGGATGCAGACAACCTGCATCGGTGCAGCAAACCAGCTTATGCTTGAGCACAGGGTGCTGGAGCAAATGCGTGGGCCACCCTCGCTTTTATTCCTGGCTCCCTAGTAATGTCTTTAAGGACCACACTGGGAAGGCGAGGGGAGAATGAGACTAAGAACGCTAAATTAAAGGGTCTTTTTCTGCATCAGTAAATAAGAAAGTAAGGATCACTCACTGTATTTCAGACTGAATCACAGCAACATCCAGCTGGAAATCCAGGTGGCTAAGAACAAGCGAAAATGCACAATCTTGACACCAAAAAGAAAAAAGGAAAAAATAAAAGGGAAAAAAGGAGGTTGATGACAAATCCAATGGCAATTATCCATCAATTTTAGTCAACACAGGCACACATCCAACTGTGCTCTGCGGGGTGCCTCTCCCCCAATCAATGCCTCATTCTGCCGCGGTCAACTTTTTCTTCTCCACAATTTCTTTGCGGATGGATTATTAATTTCCTCGAAAACACCACCATATCAGGTCTTTACTTAAAAAAAAAAAAAAAAAAAAAAGCCCCAAACTTTTCATTCCAAAAATATATATCCTTGGCTTACTTTCTCCTGTGTAGAAAAAAACGAACATACTTTTTTTGTGTGGCTCCTCGGTTCTCCATTTCCAATCATCCTTTTTGGGGAGGGGAGGGGGGGGCAGCGGTTTATTATTTATTTATGTCGGAGCACACCGACCCCCGCGGCTCTGACATTGGTCTAGTTCATGTTTCAATGCTCCCAGCGGGCCCAGAGACACATGTGTGTGAAGATCCAGGCAGGGGAGAA